CCCTAAACCCTAAGCACTAAACCCAATAGCTTCAATCCTCAAGAGCAATGTATAGGGAATCCCAGGACCTTTGATCCGGTTTCCAATTTTTGTGGGTTTACTATAGGGGTTCAGGATATATGGGGTTTAGGGTTTATAGGATTTATACAGGATCTATGGGGTTTATAGAGTTTGTGCTTCTTACGCACCCGCTTCTGAATACCATGGCCCAATATTGACCTTAACTATGGCTACTGAAGCTACCTAAACCTTAAACCTCAAACGCCTAAACCATAGACCCTATAGGTGCGCGAGTTTTCCACATTCATTCGAAAGCCGCACCTTATCGAACTCCTCCAGGCTTGTCCAAAGACCCTGCTGCTCAAGCCCAGAAGCCCACCACGGTTTAGGGTTGAGGCTTTACCGTTTAGAGTTCCGGAAATCCTACTTGGAGGTCCATGGGTGGTTATAAGTAGGGTTATAAGCAGGAGAACTACAGTTACATAATCCTGTTAAGGAACTTATAACCCGACGTACGGTTGATGGACAAAATCCTGTATGACCGTAAACAACCTAAACTATGGGATTTATGGTACTGTACTATATTTGGGTCATGCAGAATTTTGTCCATCAACAGTATCACAACTATCCATGAACCTCCAAGAACCCTACCACCGCCCTAACACCAACTCAGAGCTGGGAGCTGCAAAACGCACCCTACAAGTGCGAGAGAGAGTCCAAAACCCCTTAATCAAGGAATAGGGTTTAGGGGTTTAGGGTTTAGGGGTTTAGGGGTTTAGGGTTTTAGGGTTTAGGGGTTTAGGGTTTAGGGTTTAGGGGTTTAGGGTTTAGGGTTTAGGGTAATAGAGCTTAAAGCATACCATTAAGCCTTTCAGAATTGAAGTTCTATTCCGAAATCATCGAGCCGTTAGTATGATTTAAGGTACATTCCGCAATGAGGGTGCATTGGACTCTCATAGCCAATGGGCCAAGTATTATTATAGCAGGCTCTTAGTAGGCATCTGGGCCCCAAAAGCAAACGTGCACTATACTGTTACTTGGACCCTTTTGAACCCAAAACCCTAAACCCTAAACAGTGGTCCTGAACACTAAAGCTTGAACCCGCTTCCCAGACCTACGCCGTGGATGCTTTGAAGGGGCGCCTCGAAGCGCGCGGTGCCCTCGCAACGGCCCCGGGTGCAGGGCCGCGACACCTGTGCTTCTCGGCAGAGGGTTTAGGGGTTCGGTTTTAGGGTTTAGGGTTTAAAACCTTGAAGATGTGCTCTACGTAGAGCCTTGTATGATTAAGGGTTTAGCAGGGCAACGATAGAAACAAGTTATTGCAAAGGGGTACGAGAGAAAGGAGGTTACTACAGCGGTTACTTTCAGTCGAGTCTAGCCAGACTTTTTGCTGGCCCGCGTTATGGCATAAAAGAGTGTCGCTGTGTAAACTGGCCATTCACAGGGACGCCTTTGGCCGATACCCATAGTCTCCTCGAAGTTTCTTGGGGTATATCCTTTGGGATCCGAAATAGGAAAAAGGTTACTCCAGAAACACAGAATGAACCAGAACTACAATGGAGACAAAAAGTAGGCCTAAACCCTAAACCCTAAACCCTAAACCCCAAACCCTAAACCCTAAACCCCAAAACCCTAACCCCGAGCTTTCCAGTCTTGGGGTCTCCTGGTTTGCTCACTCTCCGCAGGTTTTCACCCCAGTGGACAGCTGGTGTGACACGGCCCTTTATGGCTAGTCAGACTTTTAGGGTTTAGGGGTTAGGGTTTATTCCTTAGGGCTCCTGGCTGAGGTTCTAGTATTTTATGCGGAGCCCCAAAACCCAAGTTCTCGTTGTTGAGTCCCCGGTATTATCTGTTCGACTTTGCGCAGATCGATTGTTTGGCAAAGTCGGTCACGGTGATTGGGCAAATGCACCCCGCAGGTACGGCATCAATGAGCTTGACTGCACAATCAACGTTTACAGCTACGATCGTGATGTCGCACGCCTTGCACTTCGCACTGTCTCGATGTTTGAATTTGAGTTGGGGTTTGGTGTCAAGGAAGACACAAGTATGAGTATACATCCCCCCCCCTTGTTTTTACAACCCCAAGCCCTAAACCCTAAACCCAAATCCCTAAACCCTAAACCCTGAACCCTAAACCCTAAAACCCTAAACCCCAACCCAATCCCTAAACCCTTATACGAAGTCGGTTTGGCCGCGAAAATCTCGCACAGGAAGGCAAGCTCGGGCTGATCCAAACAGTGTCCACGCTGCCGGCAGGCCGTTCTGGCGAGGGCATGTCAGTGTACCATAGCTATTGTATACTCATATTCTTTTTCTATATACTTGTATACCTTGCTATAATCATACTACAGGTACACTATAATTCTACTCTTATCATACTATGATCATACTATAACTATATTGTAAGTATACTATCAGTATACTTCTATAATATTCCATAGGTATGCTTCTGCTATGCTTCTGTGGTATACTACAATATACTGCGATAGTATATCATAACAATACTACAACATACTTCTGTTATATAGATTTATACTAGAACATACTATATCATTTCTATAACATGCTAGAGCATACGTGCCGGCATTGATTGCTAAATGTAGCTAGCACAGCACAGCATGATGCGAGGCTACAACAACCGGGATCACGCCAATGCGAAGAATGCTGCGGGAGAACCTGCAACAGGTGCCCCCTAAACCCTACTCCCTAAGCCGCAAACCGCAAACCCTAAACCCCTGATCCTTGCAGCCTTGCTTGGAATAGTTCTGCAGCCTTGCTTGGAATAGTTCTGTTGCGAGGTATCGCACATCATATCGGAGAATCAGAAAATAAGGGGTACCTTGTTTTGGGGTCCTTATGATGAGGATCCTACTATGGGGTTGGAAACCCCATATCATAGCTCATCATAGCTCCACAAGCGCTTTCACAGACAGTTGGTTAGGCAGCGACGGGGCTAAGATTGCGCTGGAGCCGATCTGTCTGACAGGACCTAACAGGCCACAGCAGACCAATGCGACTGCAGTATCCCAGCAGCAGCTTGAAGTCTAAACCCTAAACCCTAAACAAAACGATTGCATGACAGGGGTGATGTTTGTGCCTCAGCACGTACTTGGAGGATCATGGGGCTTAGTAACTAGGGTTATAAATAAACACGGTAGCTACTATACTTATAAGTGATTATAACCCCCAATTACGGTAGTTATAACCTTACTTACCAAGTCCCATGATCCTCCAAGTACTCCAATGCTTGCAGTTGAATGCCACTGCACTCTTCCACAGGAGTCGGGAAAGAGCTTGTCAGCTTGTCGTAAGGTACGGGCCTAAGTAATTACCTATACTATTGTGGGGGTTCCTTACTATAATTATAGCATAAGGGCCCCCAAAACCCTATTCTAGCTATTATGGCCTCTATATTAGGCCTCGGCGGTGCCGCAGGAGCATTGCATACGTGTAGCAGGATTGTACTTGACAGAGAGCCAAGGACCTTCTTTACGTAATATAGAAGGGTTTAGGGTTTAGGGTTTAGGGTTTAGGGTTTATCATGACCAATACGGTTGATGATATACATATTGCATTACCTTAAGGACCCTAAACTATGGGAATTATGGTCTATTCCTTATTATGGGTCATGCAGGATTTATATCATCAACCGTATCATTCCTTAGGGTTTCTTGTGATACTTATACTATAAAGGAGCTCAGGCCCCCTATTCTAATGGTTTAGGGTTTAGGGTTTAGGGTTTAGGGTTTAGGGTTTAGGGTTTAGGGTTTAGGGTTTAGGGTTTAGGGCCCCCATACATCAACATTTTGTTTGCAGAGCAGCTGCTCATGTTGTGAGCCATCCACAAGACCAAGGACATCCACGTCTCGCCAGACGGTCGTTTCGTGCACCGTGACGGCACCCTGTTGTAAGTGGGATATGGTCGCGGGAGCTGGAATAGAAGTATAATTATAGTATAGTACTAGTATACTATAATATAGTTATAGTTACTATGGCTTATGCTAATATGATTATGGTACCCTCACTTGCCACGGGGCCCCAGGCAACAAAATTCCTGAGGCTGTCTTGTTTCTAGCTCAGCTTTAGGGTTTGGAGTTTAGGGTTTAGGGTTTCGGGTCTTGTTCTAGTTGAGAGCTCAGCCCGCTATTCACTTCTGCTCTGCTCAACCCTTAACCCTAAACCCCAAACCCTAAACCCCAAACCATCACTGCTCCGTGCAGTGCACCTTCAGACTGCCGGAGACTTCAGGTATGGCTCGAACCGGGGCCATGATACTCGGCTGCGATGGGGGGGTTTCCGAAAATGAGGGGTACCTTATTTGGGGTCCTTATAATCAGGATCCTACTATTTAGGAAACTAGCTTAGGGTCCTATTTTCGGAAAACCTACCTTATTTTGGGGTCCTTATAATTAGGGTCCTACTATTTTGGGTACTAGATTAGGGTCCCCTATTTTCGGAAGCCCCCGGAATGCTACAAGCCTTCCAGGACCTTTGTAGGTTATTGGGGTTCATATGGAGACTACCTGGCTATATAAGGGGTATATAAGGACTATACAAGGGTTACTTAAGGTAATGGGATCAAGGGTCCCTATTAGGGGTCCCTCCTAACGTCCTTAGATACAAGCCTTCCAGGACAGCTTGGTCTGCTTCGCAGCCACTGGAAGCCAGCTGGAGCTGGTGGGCTTCACCTACACCCAAGGCTCCTCGCCCAGACCCCCAAAAGGATCTAAAATATAGATCCCCTAAGGGAGTTCCTATAAAATAGCCTTTAGTAGTTACGGTCCCTAATTAGGGGATCTATTTTTTAGATCCTTTTGGGGGTCTGGGGGTCTGGGCGGCGATGTGAGAGCAACTATTTTGGGGGAGTCTTTATTATAATTGCAGTATAATGTTTTGGGGGAGTCCTGATTATAATTACAGTAACCCTATTCTAATTATAAAGGCCCCTATATTAGCTGAGTTGGTGAGATGGGTGCAGTCTCTGCATTGTTCCTGTATGGATCTGGGACCATGAGCGACTTGATTCCCAAATATAAGCGGTTTTCTCAGTTTCCGGATTGGTTTCCGGATTGCTGAGATGTATCCTAAACCCTGAACCCTAAACCCTAAAACCCTGAAGCGGGCCAATCTGCAAGGTGCGCACCCTCGAAACTTCAGCATCCACCCCTCGGGGGACTGGGTCCTGGTAGCGAATCAGGAGTCTCCGCGGATCTCCGTGGTGTCTGACTCTTTGTCACTTAATGTGGGGGCCTAAATAATTGCCTATACTATTTTTGAGGGGGCTCCGTAGCATATTCATAGCATAATTGGCCCCAAAGCCCTATTCTAATTCTTAAGGCCCCTGAACCCCAAGCCCGTATAGTAGCCCTTTAAAGGAACCCCAAAAACCCTAAACCCTAAACCCTAAACCCTAAACCCTACTTCTTAAGGCCCCAAGCATTACAGCTGCTGGCCGGCAGGACAGTGACAACGTGGTGGTCTTCAGACGAGATCAAGCCACAGGCGCGAATCTCTGATGTTGGATTTGCCGGAGGTTTAGGGTTTAGGGTTAGGGTTTAGGGTTTAGGGTTTAGGGTCTAGGATTTAGGGTATAGGGTGTAGGTTTAGGGTCTAGGGTTTAGGGTTCAGGGTTTGGGATTTAGGGTTTTGGGTAGGACATGGGGGTTTCCGAATATAGGGGACCCTAATGAAGTACCCTACATACTCGTTATAAGGACCCCAACACAAGGTACCGGTTTAGGGTTTAGGGTTTAGGGTTTAGGGTTTAGGGTTTAGGGTTTAGGGTTTTTCGGAAACTCCCACTATAAACCCTAAACCCTAAACCCTAAACCCGTGTTCCCAGAGCCCTGGACTCCATTCCCTGAGAACCCAATACACCTTGATTAAGGAATATACCTTTAAATATAGGGGCCTTAATATTATGATTTAAGGTATATTCCTTAATTAAGGAGTATTGGGTTCTCTGGGTTACTCATGTCCAGGTGGTCTTACAGCGACAGACGCCCGGGTGACAGTCAAGGCAGCCAGGCCTGCGCAGTCGACGTGTGCAGTCAGGTTGCCTCCTGACAGTCGCTTCCTTTGGTAATTCAGGGGCCTAAACAATTGTCTATACTATGTTGGGGACTCTTTATTACAACTATAGTATAAAATACACCAAAACCCTAGTCTAATTATTAAGGCCCCTAAACCCCAACCCTTATAGTAGCCCTTGTAGAACCCTTTAAAGAACCCTTGAAAGGAAACCCCAAAAAACCCTATTCTAATTATTACTTGGAGAATCAAACTGGGGTTATAAATAAGGTAACTATACTGATAAGTAATTATAACACCAATTAAGGTAGTTATAACCTTACTTACTAAGTCCCATGATCCTCCAAGTAAACCCTCAACCCTAAACCCTAAACCCCTAAACCCCTAAACCCTAAAACCCTAAAACCCTAAACCCTAGAACCCTAAACCCCTTACTTACGAAGTCCCAGGATCCTCCAAGTATGCTCTCCAACACCTGTGAGGTGCATCGTCTGGGGCCTTCCCGTGGAGCCTCGGAAATGAGGCCTGGCGCAGCGGATGTCCAAGAGGTCTCTGAGCAGGCCCAGCCCGGATCTATACTATAGTTAGACTATAGACTATACTTATTTATGCTATAGTTCTACTATATTTTTAGTTTATACTTCTAGAATATACGATCTAGCCCAGATTCGGTGCAGAGTTAGCCGCTGGCAGGCTTTGCTCAAGCACCAGCAGAGGCGAGAACCGTGCTGATCATCTGAGGTGGCACCAGAGCATGCTTGTCTCGGTCACAGCATGTTATTTCTTCTTCGGGGATGTTCCCAAGACCAGCACAAAGCTTCTGTATACACCGCCTATAGTCTCCATTGTAGTTCCTAGCTGGGTTTACGTTTTAGGGTCCTCCACATAAAACTGGTTAGCTTCGAGGCTTAGATATGTCACGTGGTGCACAAGCTGCCGCAGTAGATTGATTTCAGAAGCGAGCCGGCGCTAGAGGGAAAAAATCAGTGCGGCTGCTTCCGTCCGTGCGACGGGACTACATGTTGAGATGTCACTCCCGGTCTGTGACGAGTCGACCCTAAACCCTAAACCCCAAACCCTAAACCGTAAACCCTAAACCCCAAACCCTAAACCCTAAACCCTTAAACCCCTAAACCCTAAACCCCTAAAGTTGTAAATCCTAAACCCTAAATCCTAAACGCTAAATCCCTAAGCCCTAAATCCCTAAACGCTAAACCCTAAACCCCCAAACCCTAAACCCTAAACCCCCAAACCCTAAACCTTTTAATGCAAAGTCCTGAGCGAGGCGATGTCTGAGGCTCTATGCCCACGCCAGCAAGCACCCAAAGAACCTAATACACCGTGGTGGGTTTAGGGTTTTTAGGGTTTTTAGGGTTTATACCTTAAATCATAGGTGCCTTAATCTCATGATTTCGATTATATTCCTCAATTCAGGGGTATTGGGTTCTCTGGGCAGGGTGTGGCATTCGGGCGCCAGCTGCAGAACGACAGGAGCCGACCAAAAGAAAAAGCTTTACACCCCAAACCTTGAACCCTAAGCCCTAAACCCTAAACCCTCAACCCCAAACCCTGCACCCTAAACCCTAAACCCCAAACCCTAATCCCCAAACCCCAAACCCTACTTGGAGGATCATGCGACTTAGTAACTAGGGTTATAAGTAAGATAACTATACTTATAAGTAATTATAGTAGCTACCTTATAACCTTACTTACTAAGTCCCATGAGCCTCCAAGTAAACCCTAAACCCTAAACCCTAAACCCTAAACCCTTAAACCCCAAACCCGCGCAGGCCAAGTGGCGCGGAGCCTGCATCCCCACGAAGGCGCAACAGAGTTCTAGGGTTAAGGGTTTTAGGGTTTTGGGTTTAGGGTTTAGGGTTTAGGGTTTAGGGTTTAGGGTTTAGGGTTTAGGGTTTAGGGCATGGGGTTCAGGGGTTCAGGGTTTAGGGTGCAGGGTTTAGGGAGACCTTGAGTTGGGAGGAGGACCATGAGGGGCTCCGCAGGAATGTAATAGAGGGGGCCTTAAGTTTAGGGTTTAGGGTTTAGGGTTTAGGGTTTAGGGTTTAGGGTTAAGAAGTTAATACTATAGTATAAGTATAGTATCATATACCCCAAAGCCATATTTCTGATTATTAAGGCCTCTACATTAATTTTCTGAGTGTACATTTATGGGGTTTAGGGTTTAAAGTTGTATGTTCTGTGGTGTCTTGTTGTCATCAGTCTGACTATTTCTCGTGCCACGGCCATTACCTGATGGCGAGTACTATCACTATTGCCAGTCCCACTGCCATGACCATGAAAAGGACTTATGCTTATGACTACGCCTACGATAACCATGCCCGTGACCATACCTATGACGGCGACTATGACTCGCATTCTGACTATGAGTGTGACTACTACGATAGCAATGCTTGTTATGACTGCTTCGACTGTTATCAATTGTGTATGTACTATTGCTATCGCTATTGCTATTGCTGTTGTCATGACTATAACTATTACTACTGTTAGGTTTGTTAATATTGTTCTAATTCTTCTAGTTGTAGTATTCATATGTTCAGCACAGTTGCAATGATAGCAATTGTTAATATTGTCATCTGCGCTTTCAAATCATGAGCATCACAATTCTATCCTGAGTTTTTCTAGTACTAGAAACAGTCATAGATGCCATATGTTGGATACTGTCCCCTCACTCAGCAACAGTTGAATAATATAGGTACATAAAGCCCTTAATAGTGGCCCTATTGAAACTGCTGCTGTATGAGGGCAGCACCCAACCAAAATTACGGTCCCCCTTGTTAGGTCCCGGAAACACTACGGCACCCTTATGAAAGGACCCTAAGAAGGACCCCAATTTATAGAACTACCTCAACTAAACCCAAAAACTCTAAACCCCTAAAAGCTAAACGGCTGAGAGTTTCAAGGTTCATGGTTTAGAACCCTTACCAGCCCCTAGAAGACCCGATAAAACCCCTAGATAACCCCATGAAATCCGAACCCTAAACCTCTCTTCTGAGCAGTTTTTGGCAAGCCCGGAGGTGGCCGGACGCCTGGACGAGCGACTTGTGGCCGCGCAGGCCTTCCAACATTCATTGAATTACGGAGCAACCCGTCGTGTCACACATCACATCACATCACATCATCACATGTCCTTTCATGTCATGACATATCCTATCATATCATATCATGTCACAACATTTCAGTTCATGTCATGTCACACGACGGGGTGCTTCAGTAGATTCGCAATCCTATGTTGAACCCTGCTTCGTGTGACAGGCGTGGTACTTTCGGTATGTTCGACAGTGCTACTTTCAATCTGCTACTTCCCGCGTAAGAGCCTCGCCAGTCCGTTAGCGTGACTAGCGTGCACACAACTTTCCAAGCCCTAAACGCAAAAAGGACGTGCCTTCAACAAATCCAAGGGGGGAAGCCTGTTTCCTGTGGCAGGCGCAGTAGAACCGATGTAAACGTCCGCTTAGTCTGGGGGTTGTTCATGGAAAGGCTTGGGACGACAAGAAATCAGAAACTAAGCCACGAATGAGAAACTATGAATCAGCAAGTGCGTGTTGGAAGCCTTAATTCAGGGTCCGATCCGTAATTTCAGTTTGAGAAATATTCCTCCGACAATGGTAATTAATGTATATCTCAGGATCCCTAGTAGATTTCAAGAACAGTCCTCAACACCTTAAGCCTCAAGCCCCTAGTCCCTAAGCCCTAGAAAAGGGGTCAAAAAGAACACCAATACTATTTTGGTGGTTCCTGGTTATACTTATTGTATAATGTACCCCAAAACCCTATTCCAATTATTCATGGGGCTTGGGGGGGTAAGAGGAAGGGGGTAGGGGACTATAGTTGCTTAAATCGGCCTTTTTAGGTCATTGGGTCCTGATTACCGGTAATATGGCCCCCTACCCCCCGCCCGCTCAAAACCCCAAGGGTCCTTATGAATTACTAGGGCCCCTAGAACCCTAAACCCCAAACTTTCGACCCTAATCCTTCAACCCTAACCCCTCAACCCAAACCCCTCAACCCTGAACCCAAAACTCCCTAAACCCCAAACTCCCTCAACCCTAAACCCTAAACTCCCTCAGCCCTAAACCCT